TTGTTATAAACATAAAAATACTATTGCGTTAATGGGTAGGTTCTTCCGGAGAAATACCACGGCTCCACAGTAGACTGGTGTGAAGTGGAAGATTTATACTCTGGTGTTTTGTCTGGTGAGTGAGGTAACTGGTTCCCATTTTTGTAGAGATTGTCAACTAATCTGTAAGCCCTCAGGTGTATTCGTTTAACATCAGGTGAACTGCCTGTTCGCTTGACAACTAATCTGTAAGCCCTCAGGTATATTCGTTTAACATCAGGTGAACTGCCTGTTCGCTTGACAACTTTTCTCATAATTTTTTTACCTGATTTGAAAATTTTGAGGTTTTATAAAGTAACTGAAATGACGTTCTAATTTGTATTACTATGGTATATATCGCAGGCACCACATTTCTTTAAATTTGCACAAGAGACAAGAGTCACACAAAATTTATTCAAACTATTGTTATAAAACGTCGCCTATACAAAAACACATTTATTTATGCGAACTAGCCCTGTGGCGAACACATTTGCTAAAAATCAGCGGAGATTATAAATAATATTTATAAGTCAACGTCAAGAATTAATTTAAATAAATCAAAACATTGATTTATGCGAACTAAGGCCTTTTATTCCATAGAAGCATGACCTGAACTTAATATGCCAACGTATGCATCAGGGACAGGAGTTCAGTTGGCACTGGCCGTTTCGCATTTGTGTGTTTGTCCTCGTGTAATTTATGTTTGTAAAACGTCCTTACAACACAGGATAATGTTATCGGAAAATAAGGGCAACGTTTTTAAAAAAAAAAAAAGAAAAAAGAATCATCATTGTAGAAACAGAACACAATATTTCCATTAAAATATATTCAATTTTATTTAAAATACAATAATAACTTTCTACAAACACTCTTGACATGAGAGTTCTAAGAGTTCGAACAGAAAATTTCAATCTTCCATTATAAACGTCTACCTTCATTAAACTCAAATCAATTTTTAGAGACGGTAAGCTTGTTGCAGAATTATAAAATTTCTATACAGCGCACGTAGTCGCTCTGCAGTGTTAAAATAATTGTTTGCAGAAAAAATTTTGGATGAAATTTAGAAAACATGAGTTCAGCGAATGTGTTAAACGCGAAGATTTAAAAATAAAATTCTCTTTTCATTTCCAAACGCTAACATCTTATTTAATTATTTTACGTACCTACTTAATTAAATTTATTCAAGTCAGTAATTAAAATAACGAAGATTTGGTAATGCTTTTAATTTATTGTAAGAATGTAGATAGCAAGCTTTCTGACATACTAGCGTAGTATTTAGTTATCAGTTTTTTAATACAGGTGTATGTTTACAGCAAGTTGCAATTGCATATAGAAATTTCTTCCCCAACTAAATAGCAAATCTATTTATTGTTAGTAACGCGCACTCATGATCTCAGTTTAGAAAAGCTAGAATAAAATCGTGTTTATTTAATTGTGAAATATTTGTTATTCGATGAACATGTATACGTTTAAATGTTATTTCTTCAAACGGGAATCTCATGCAGCAGCTTTGTGTAAAGTTGTTCAATGTTTTATCTATTCAGCGGTGTATTGCCAGGGAAACGAACTGATCCACGAATGGGCAGGCCCTTCGGGGAAATACCACGGCCTCACGGAAACGGCACGAAGTGGAAATGTTATACCTCTGCGTTTGTTCTTGTAAGTAAGATACAGAGGTGGCAAGACATCAGCAACCCCGCATTCTTAACATCTGGTGAAACATCAACTCGATTCATGTTCTCTTACTCAGTTACTAGACTCCATAGAGTAAGTGACTCGTTCATGGGGCGGTGTATACGCTTTTACAACAAAATCCCAGTAAATGCGCAAAACCTGCCTATTAACAGGTTTAAGAAATTTGTTAAAGAAAAACTTTATAAAAAGGGTTATTATAATACAAATGAATAAATTAATGACAATTACCCCTGGGAATGAGTTGATCGCTCCCAAGCTATTTCCAAAATAAAAAAAAATCATTTGTATAATATTTTAACTTTTTTAAGAAAAAAAAAAATTAATTACAAAAAAGAGGATACCGACGGAGTTTCTTTCGCCTGTTTCTTTTCCGCTAGAGGAACCTCATTGCGAAACGGTGGTAGATTAAAAAATTATTGTCTTTTGTCGATGAATAAATTTCAAAAAACGATTTTGATTTTGATTTTATGTCATCTTATGAAAAAAATGCCATTTCTCTAAATTGAATTTATTTAATAGAATAAAAACATATAAATGCACTGTTAAATTACCTAATTACCGATAAAAATCCCGGACGAAACTTTTACTATGTTCAGTCTAAGTTAAAAATAAACAAAACACACTACATTAAATATTTAATACCCCGGCATTTCTTCCGGGCCGTAATTCGTACCAATCGCAGCACGCTCGAGTGCCCCGGACCAGGTTATTGGTATTCTGAACCACGTCCACGTACTACGAGGGTCCACCCTTGTCATTGGCCGTCTGTCACACTCAAAGTCTTCAGGGTCGCATATATTTCCCGTGGACCTACATTAGAGTAGTGCGAAACGGCCAGCGCAAAGTGAACTCCTGTCCCTCACGCATACATTGGCATATTAAGTTCAGGTCATGCTTGTATATCTCTCTTTCTGTCTCTTTCTACATTCATCTACGAATCTCTTTCTACAATGATGATTTTTTTCTTTTAAAAACATTGCCCTCACTTTTGGATAACATTATCCTGTGTTGTAAGGACGTTTTACAAACATAAATTGCATTAGGACAAACACCCAGATGCGAAACAACTATCTGTGGGTCGCACAAATAGTTGTCCCGTGTGCGAATCGAACCCACGACCCCCGACGCCGAAGCCAATACCTCGGCAACTGCGCCACGGAGTCATCGGGGACTGTATGATGTATTGATGATTTAATCCTTCAGGGATAGTAATCGAGTACTAGTCAGGACTTGATAAACTAAGAATGAAAATTGTAGAACAAAAAAATTTCGAGCGTAAAAAGTAGCTAAACCTTTATAACTCATGGCCACAGAGAGAATATCATAAGATAATTTATATTTTTGAGTGAGGTAATCGAAGTGGTGGTGTAAGTGTCCATGGCGGCGGTCTTCGCCATCATGTGACTCTCTTGTTCAGCAACCACTTATTTTTAGAAGAACTATCACATACATGAGTTAGAAGTTGATTGGATGAGACCGTTGTAAAATAGATTTGAATACATTTTTTTTTTCGTGTGAACATAACATTACCTCCATTGTAAAGGAGTCAGGTTAAAACACGTATATTTCGCGTTTTACAAGTAATCAACACCCGTTCCGCCGCAATCTCAACGGAGTTCGTCCGCCAGTTACGTAATTAACTTTGCCGGTTGTTAATTCCTACAAAATCAATAGCAAAATACTAGTTAACTAAAACTCTTGTATTTCGAAAGTTGGGCAAAGCTTAGTCCTCTAAATCTCTTCTATTTCAGGCATGAGAATTTCGATATACGACTAGACTAGACCAGCTAGACGTAATACCTACTTTGAGAATTTCTAAAAAAACCAAAAAAAAATTTCTCATCCAGGAGGTTTCTTGTAGTCCACAAAAACTTGGGTGGAGAATGACATCGCCTTAACTTGGTATAACATGCATTTTGTTTTAGAGAACACGTTTTTATTTAGTAAAATCCTAAAATACTATTAGGATGGATATCATCCTAAAGTGATGGCAATGTTAAAAAAAAAGAAAAAAAAAAACATCGAAAAAATCTTTGACGAAAAAAGATTTTTCGATGATTTGAAACAGTAATCCTAATGTCATGTTGCCGTTTCATTTCTGGAGCATAGCATAGTTTTCTAAGATCCGATCTAAGTTATAAAACATTTTTTTTCCTAGATACTTCCAAGAAAATAACCGTCGAAGATCGAACAGGTACTCTCGAGAGCAGGGCAAACAAACAAGCCGCTACGCTTACGTTGCTGAAGGAATTTATAAATATTTTCAACATATCCCCTTCACAGAACAAGATGGCTGTCGAGAGAGCCGTTCTTAGAATGGAAAACAAGATGTCAGATTTCCTTTCGTCGGGAAACTTCAAAATAATGGAATCACACTCGCAACATTTTCAATGGAGACACGAAATGGAATTTTCGTGTAAAATTTAAAATGGATTTATTTTTACAGTGCTCCCTACGACTGTCTGTCGTTATTTCTCGTCTTGGAATGATTTCTTATAAATTTCTTTTTACAACTTTCTCCACGGCTTTAATCTCAATAGAGGTCATGAGCTCCTAAACAAATGCTTAGCAGCCAAAATCTGGAATTTATGGCAAACTAAGGAGACAAAGTAGTTTTGATTTCTGAATTAAAGTCGATTAAGAATTTTGCATGCACAAAATACTTAATCGACTTTAATTATTATCATTTTTAAAAAGTCATAGAGGATTTGCTGGTGGTAAATCATGCTTGTCTTGAGTATACATTATTTCATAGAACCATATTTCATTAATGAATAGTAAAATGATTCTTAATTTAATCGCAGTTTGTTACTTATTCCCTGAGCAGGTGTTATTTTGTGAATCGATTTTGACTTTTATACGGGCTACAAACGAAAATTAATTAAAAAATTCACTTTGGTAACTCGGTGCGTCAACTATTGCTAAGTCTTAAAGAACTTTATTAAGTTAGATTCACACGCGGGACAGCTAATATTACACACAGATATTTATTTTCGATCTGGGTATTTGCTCGCAAAAATGGTTGACCAAGCAGGCGAGTGGTCATAAAAACTTAGCCAATAACAACATAATACACGCATACCGACCCTGTGGGATAAGGACCGGAGAAATAAGATAAATTTGGTTGTCGATCATCAAACGGCATCAGACAAACCTCTTTTTATTGCCACATGCAAATCTAATTAGTTCTCCTCGCTTTCAGGTAAATGGGACCAGTGTTGCCGTATCGAACGGGCCTAGTGTAGTGCGGTGTACTCTGTGACGTGATGTGCGTTTGAGTAGACGCGATGGGTCCGCGCACTTCTCGCGGGCTCGGCGCCTGGGCCTGGATGGCGGTGCTGGCCCTCGGCAGGAGCACCGCTTACACCGACACCGAGGAGTTCCTCAGCGATCTGGATAAGCCAGGTGGGATACAAGCTACATGTATTGAACTCGCCTTCACCATCACCATCGTCATTTCAGCCTGTAAACATTAACTGCTGAACATAGGCGGAGGCCTACAGGAGTCAAGAGATTCACTTCAATTGGTTTTAAGCGGCCTGCATCCAGATAAGTACCGCAACCCTGGTCATCACTCCATCTGGGTGGTTAATTGGTGTAGGTGGGTTGAAGGCAGGACAAAAATAAGCTTCCAATGGTCATTTTGGCTGAAACTTGTTTAGACTTCAATGATAACAGCACGCAGAAATGTTTATAAGTTGAAATTAATTTTTAGTCCTTACTGGGATTTGGGTTGCATAAATATAAACTGAAACGCTTAACAATAAAAGTACAAAGTTGTTCAATCATTTTATAGACATGTTTATATATCTCCACAGTTTTTGAAATACAGGGAGATTTTTTGAGAAGTTAACCCAAATTTACACCAGAGGTTCAGACTCGGTAGTATGATCGTTTATTGAAATAAAAAAAGTTTTTTTCCAAAAAAAAATGCCTAAAAACAGAACGTGTTGACAATGCAAACATTCATAAATACCTAAATTTTACTGTGAATGAACTTGTGTGCGTTTTAGTTATGAATGATCGCACGTAAAATAAATGAGTTGCGTATAAATCGCGCACTTTTTGAGATAAGTTTAAATGAATGTAATTAATTACTTATGAGTGATTTTAAATATTTATCATTATTTATGTCTAGAATCTATTAAAAAACGGATACACTTATAAAAGCCAACCTGTACATTGAAAATATAATATCCCATTTCCTTCTATATACTTATATCGTATTCTGTACTTTACGCAAATGGCACTGAGAAAAGAAATAATAAAAGCAAAAAATCTTAGCACAAGAGCTGGACCAACTGCGTTGTAACTTTTTTAATTTGTCTTCCGACAATAGCGCACGTGTTACGGATAAAATGTCTAGATTTAGAAGTCTCCACAATGCCTCACTCAGCGCACCGCCCATCAGCCTTGCTACGTTGTAATAAAATCTTTTGCTCGAAAGATGCGCTTCTAATGATGCGGTGTATCGATAGTTAAAGGTTGGTAAGTTTCGTGAAAGCTTAGCATACATGCGAATAGTGGGTTCGCATTACTGATTGAATTTGTGGAGCAGAAGTTTGTTAATTAGTAGAACACAGAGCAGACACATAACATACATAGGGTGAGGCCTATGTATGTTATGTATCTAAACATTTTACATAAAAGTGGACAAAAGCAAAGTCTTACTCTGGCGGTACATTGAATACATCTAATTTTTTTGTGAGAAGGTGGCAAGAGAGCTGGCGGCTCGCTTGATGTTTAGTGATAACTGCCACCCATAGACATTTTACAATAACTTTAGGGTTGCCGAAGCGTTGCCACTTTTAGTGGGCCCCAACTATCTTGCTCAACAGACGAAACGTAGAAGTGTAACACTTCTACTTCACGCCGGTCTTCTGTGAGGTTGTGATAATTTCCTGATAGACCTACCCATCCGTGCAACAGTGAAGATAGTTTTGTGACCCTACCACTGCAGAATATAGTATGTATGAAGATAAAGTATATTTATAGAAATATAGTATTTATCGTTTTATTTCTCTATGTAACCGTCCAATATAGTCGATAATCTTTACAAAATATTTTTTAAAATTTCATCTTGACTGCAGAGAATAGCACTATAAAAACTCATTATTTAAAACTTTATTATTGTTGCATCTTTTGCTGCACCTACCATAAACTCTCACCACATCCTGGCTTGACTGGTAGAGAATGCCTTTGGGCATCAAGTTCGCCCTTGGTTACCTTGTTTTACTGAAGGTTGGCAATAAAGTTTCATAAATAAATAAATAAAAATAAAAATTTATATCTTTTAAAAACCAATGTATATCCTAACTATACAATCCTATATATATATCTTTGTTCGTCCTGTTGCCAACTACAAAAATGTATAACTGTTTACCACCTCCACCTAGCGTCATAGTGTATTCCAGAAGCCCACGTCCGCACTGTATCATGGCCCCTTTTAATTTCCGGCCGAACATTTGGGAGGAGAATAAAAATTATACGTTTATAAAAGGCCATTTTCAAACAGAAGGCATAATAAAAGTTCCCCTGTCCGTAACACTCGTTTTGTAGTAACAGGGTTAACGGTCATTTAATGGACTGGCGCAGCGGGCGTATTAAATTCATTGTTGAATAAAAATGGAATCATGTCCTTCCATTTGCTGGATTGCTTAGTTGGAAATTAAAAGTATACAAATATTTTAGATTAATTAAATATAGTTTGCCAATTATATTATATACAAATACAAGGTAGATATGACACTGGCGCATTGAAACTGAGGACTCTAATGACACCAATTGCTGTAATTCGATCCCAATTCTATAGACTGCTATCTCTTTCCGTATCATACGATATAAATCGTCTGTCACATTCACTTATATGTCGCATAATGAAAAGCGGAAAAATTTTAAACGCTGCGCAGTGTGGACATGCGTCATCTATATTATTAAACATCATTGTATTTTACCCATTTTCAACCGACTTTAAAAAAAAGTGCGGGTTCTCAATTCGACTGTATTTTTTTTTAATTTAACTTTCCGACTGAGTGTACTCTGATTTTGATGAATCTCTTTTTATCAGAGAGCTAGCGCTTCCCGCGTGGTCCCATATAATTCCATTGGTATTGGATCTTGGGCTCCGGAGATACTTAGGGAGGTTCTGAAAATCAAATATAAAATGAATACAGAGCGAGACATTTGTCAAGTATAAGTCGCTTTTGTTTTTCGTTAACAAAAAAAAATAGTCGTTATAGTCCTTATTTAAGAAGTAATAAACATTGAAAAATTCCGACGTAATAATAAAACACCGTTACACTATTGCCATGTTCTGGCAACGATAGAAACAACAATCGAAAACTCAACAATCAATCAAATTGGCTCGTGGGTGGACGTAGCGGTGGCGTGGGCCAGTTTAATGCGTTTTATTCGTAATCCGGTATTAATGAGACTGTCGGTTCGTATCCAGAGCTACTGGTTCTGATTTAAATAGCATATTCCGATCGAAGCTATTGTGTTACGATAGAATTTTATTCTCTGTGCCGACAAACCTGTTTTATACGATAGGTATAGCCCATTTTAGCTTTTCCTTTGAGTTTCTACACAACTACCCCAAAAGTTATACGTGTTTTAGTGATTGAAATTTGTAGATAAATACTATCGAAAAATTTTTCGTGATGATGATTATTTGTGATTGGTTCACCAGTTATACTGTGTCAGATTGAGTTCGGTGAAAGGTAGCCAGCACTACCTCTGTCTACCCTGTTACTATTGAACTAAAACTTTATTAAACTGCGGTAGGGCCACGCAACAGTCTTCGCTGGTGCACGAATCGGCAGATCCAATTGGGAATGTAACACGACCTCATAGAATACCGGCGTGAGGTAAAAGTCTTGTACTTCGCTTAGTAAGTGAGGAAGCCGGGCCTACTTTATTTAAAATTGGCACCGCATCTGCAAACCTGCAACCAGAGCCGTGATAGCTCAGTGTCCGGGCGCTCGCCTTTAATTCAATATACTCGAGCAATCTGAGTTCGATCCCTGGTGCCGGCACCAATGAAGTTTTTAACTTTAAGTGCTGACTTATCACGTGCTCCGCGGTGAAGGAAAACATCGTGAGGAAACCTGCATATTTTCGAAATAATAACAAAAAAAAACATATTTCGAAAATATGTGAAGTCCGCCAATCCGCAGTGGGGCCGCGTGGTGGACTATGCCCTGATACCCTCTGTATAGAGGAGGCCTTTGCCCAGCAGTGGGACATGTATAGGCTGTTACTTTACTTTACTTTACTGCAAACCTGCGGGCGTTGCAAATGCGCATGGGTGGCAGTTATCACTTAACACCAGATGAACCGCCAGTTCACTTGTCAGGTTCTATAAAAACAAAGAAGGGGATCAAACGTGGGATATTTTCGAGAGAGTTTTGTACAAGCCTCGTCGTAATATAAAAAGGACTGGTTCCTGGTTTTTTACGTTCAAACAGGCGCATCATAATTTCTCGGCACCATGCCGTGATGAATAGGTCCGTATGATAATTTCGTAAGTTACTTTATTTTAATGTTTGTAATATCGTTAACTTATGTCCGAGTTTAATGTTATTTGTGTTATGGACGGACTAGAAAGCGTTGTGTTGGTTTTATTTTAATTTTTTTGTTTATTAAAGCCCTTCCGGGTATGGTTTGACTTGATTTCTATTAATAGCTCCGTTCATTTCAAAAACATGTATTTTTATATTGAAGACCTGATGGTGTAGTGGATAGAGGACCGGTCTTCGTACGAGAGAGGACTGACGTTCGGGCGAGAGGGAGTGGGATCGATCACCACTATTGGAAACATATTGTGTGATGAACATAGTGTTTTTCTAGTGTCTGTGTTTATACGAGTATATCTGTAATAATTATGTATTTGCTTAAAAAAGAAAATGTTTATCACTAACCTAATATCCATATATATACAAGCTTTGCTTAGTTTGGGTCTAGATAACGTTCTGTACAAGTATGTCCTGAAATATTTATTTATTTTATTTTATTTACTTATAAATTTTATATGGACGGCGATGGACTAAATATCGGAAATGCCATATGAAAGGGATTTAGAAGCCCTAGCATATTATAAATAATATAGTCATTAAAATATAATAACGTTGTGCCTAAATGCGGATATTTAAAAGGATTAATAAGTCAATTGCTAAGGCCGTGATGTTAATCAATTTATTTTTTAACTTTGTGTTGGCAAAAGGAAAGGAAGTGTCATTCTATGTAATGTAAATGTATAAATGAAGCTGCACAAAGCATTTCATGGTATTTTTGGATGTCAAGAAGAAGTATTTATACACGATAGTGCTTTCTAATCGGTATCACAAATTAATAGTTGGAGTGGTGAATCTTTAGTCTAAAAGTGAAAATAAATAAGTATTTATACCAGTGTTATTGTTATACAAAGTAAACTACGGTGATTTGATATAAGTATTTATATTTCTACCTTTTGAGCTCGAAAACAAAGTAAAGCATATGTGTTTCGTTAAATAGACGTTATGCGCAAAACGGCTAAATATCTAAAGCCGTTCTGCTATTTCTTATTTATATATTATTATTTTTTTTAATTATAAATAGAAATATCCTTAGATCAGCCTCATCTATATAATTCCGGTAAATATGAGGAGTCTTTATCTACGAG